CGGTCGCGCGTTCCTGTCCCCGAGGCTCCAGGCCAGGTCACCGGCTGCAGCGCGCTGAGGGCCGATGGAGGGAAGGGACCGTCCAGCCCCGGGTCCCGGGCGCTGGCCGAGGCCCTGCGCTGGGGAGGCCATCGCCCTGGGGAGGGAGCCAAGGCCCTGTCACCGACGCCCTGTCACTCCGAGGGCCGCAGGGGACGCCCACCCGCCTGGCGAGGCCCCGTCCCGGTGATGCGCGGTGGTGCGCGGTGGTGCGCGGTGCGCAGGGTCACCAGAGGTGTGCCAGGGACCCCAGGAAAATGTGCCAGGGGACAGCTTCGCCCCGAGCGCCCAGAGCCTGGGGCGCGACCACAGGACAGCAACCAGGACCTGCAGAAGGGGCGGAACCCGCTCCTGAGGCCACCAGAGGCGAGGACGCGGGCCCTGCGCTCTGGAAACGCCCTTTGCACCTGGGAAGCAGCTGCCAGCGCGGGGGAGGGGCAGGAAGGGACTTCGCAACATGAGGTCCCCAAGTCGTGGTCACTGCCCAGGACAATCAGGAACCTCAAGCAGCTCCCACAGACAGCGCAAGGGGTCCCCGGGCCACCGTGGCGCAGAGATGCCCCCTGCCCCGCGCTGCTTCCGTGGTGACCCCTCTTCCTGGTCCCCACAGGGCCATCAGCGACGGCGGGGACAGCAGCCAGGCCTCGGGGCACAGGCCGGGAAACTGAGACCTGGGCGCTGAGACCTGGAGTGTCGGGAAGGAGAGGGAGGGAAGAAGCCGGGTTCTGGAATGTTCTGGGGCCCCATCTAAGTCCTGCAGGATCTGGATATGGGGGTGATAGGGGGCGTCAGGCTTACGAAGGTCTCCACCTGAGCAGCTGGTGACCCCGGTGACAAGCTCAGAAATGCTCTCCCCCCCACCTCGAGCTTCCGACCTGATAAATGCACAGGAGAAAGGATGTGCCCTGCCCTGCGGTGACCTTTAGGGACAAACGACACTGAGACACAGAAGGCTGAGCCCAGCGGGAACACTCGGGTGTCTGTGTCCAAGGGACAGCAAAGCACCCTCAAGGAGCGCCCAGGGGTCTGCAGCAGATGGCACAGATGCTGGTGAGATGAGTGTCCCCAGAAGGACCCCTCACCCAGGTGAAGGGTGGCCCTCAGGGGACGCGTGGGGCAATGGGGACCGCAGCAGGGAGCTGCCAACCCCCTGAGGGCGGCCGGAGCTGGGCAGGGCAGGGTCAGCAGGGGTGTGCCAGGGACCTCAGGAAAAATGTGCCAGGGGACAGGTCACAGCGGGGGGCTTCCCCTGCCAGCCCGGCTGCAGACACCCCTGTCACCTGCTGACCTGGCAGATAAGGAAGCTGAGCTGCCCTGAGCAGAACAGTCAACCTCTCTGGGCCTTGGTTTCCGCATCTGTAAAATGGGGTGGTCAGGAAGGCAGGCAAGAAGGCCAGC